TAAGTGCTGGAAGCAACTTAGGTGCCCATCAGTAAATGACTGCATCAAGAAACTGTGGTACATTACAAGATAGAATACAACGCAGCAGAAATAAAGGAGTTTCTACTCTTTGCAACAGCATGGATGGAGCTGGAGAGCATTGTGCTAAGTGAATAAGCTAGGTGGTGAAAGACAAATACCATATGATCTCACCTTTAAGTGGAACTTAAAGTGGAACTTAAGTTCCATTTAAGCGGAACTTAATCAACAAAACAAACAAGCAAGCAAAATATAACCAGAGACATTGAGATAAAAAACAAACTGACAGTAATCAGAAGGGGAGGGGGGCGGGGGTAATGGGGGAAAGAAGGGAAAGGGTCGTAAAGGAGCAATATATAAACTACCCATGGGCAAAGCTAAAGAGGGGAAAGGACTGAGGGAGGGGAGGTGCGGGGGGAAGTGGTGGCAGGAAAATGGAGATGACTGTACATGAACAATGATACAAAATAAATAAATAAAACAAGAACAACTAGGCAAATGTTGGTAATGATGTAGAGAAACTGGACCCCATGTGCTTTGCTGTTGAGAATATAAATTGGTACAGCTGCACCAAAACAGTTTGGTGTTTCCTCAAAAATTAAATACAGAATTCCCATTTTCCAGTAATTCTACTTCTGGGCAGAGATGTAAAAAGAATTGAAAGGAGGTATGATGAAGCATATACTTTACACAAATGTACACAGTAGCATACCTACAACTGACAAAATGTGGAAACAACTCACACATCCATCCATGGGTAAATGAATAATGAAATGAGTATGTGCATATGATAAAACATTATTCACTCTGAAAAAAGGAAGTACATTCTGATACAACATGGATGAACTTTGAAATCATGCTGAGTAAAATACGCCAGTCCCCAAAGGATGAATGCTGCATTATCCCCTTCTGTGAGGTTTCTAGAGGAATCAGATTCATAGAGACAGGGGGTGGAATACAGATGCTGGGGCCTGAGGGAGGAGGGAACAAGACTGAATGTTTAACAGGCACAGAGTTTCAGCTTGGGAAGAAGAATAGCAGCGACAGCTGCATAGCAATGTGAATGTACTTAACACCACAGAACTAAGTGTATATTTCAAAATAATTGGAATGGTAAATTTTGTTATGTATATTTACCACCATAAAAATAGTTTAAACAAAACAGTAAGTGAAGAACTTTAATTTTGGACAATGCAACCAAGGCATCTTAAAGTGTGAATACTTAAACATTTTTTAAACATCTGTTGGAGAAGCTTCTCAAGGTATGTTCTGTTTAATTCTCCAGATAATTACTGCAGTCACACCTGAAAAACTTGTTCACAGTTAATAGTCATAGTGAAGGAGCATAAACTCACACAGGTGGACAACACCATGGGGCGACATGCACACAACCCTGGTGGCCCTTGGCCTCCTCCTTGGAGTGTCCTGCCCTCACACCTGCCTCAGTCCTTCTGCCATCATTTGCACCTCTCTGTCGTTCTCCTGACAAGCTGCCCTGATTTTCCCCATGACTTGACCAACAGAGGGTTAGTTTCCATTGTGATATAATAACAGGTTTTGACTCTTTGAAGTTTTTTTTATCACAGTTTACATTTTTGGGTTCTTTGTTTTGGAAGTTTGGGGAGGCTACTCCCTGGCTGTTATCAACATTATCTGAATTTTAATGTGATCAGCAAAACTGAAAAAATGTACAGATGAACCTGACGTCAAGGCACCTACTAGAACAGTTCACATGTGCTCGAAGTTGCTGCTTCTTCCTTCTACAAACTGCTGCTCCGGTCTCACTACCTGGTGTGGGGCTGCTTCACTAGTCTTTCCCAGAATCAGCTGGCTGCCGGTGCAGAAATTCTGCAAGGTGTGTCCGCAGAAGCAGGCAGACCCACAGCATGAACCTGGGCTAGGAAGTCCGTAGGGTTGCAAGGCATGCCTGGGGGGCCACACGTTCAGCACTCTTGACACTTCCCTGAAGGTGGAGTTCTGTCACGTGACTCCATCCCCACAAAGACACGCGTAAGTACATGCAGCACAGCCTGTGGTGCTGCTGGTAGCAGAGGGCCCCGTCTTGATCTGCAAGTTGAGGACAAAACCCTTTCCTACGGACTAGCCCCTGGCTCAGGCTGGTGGCACCTTATGTCACCCTTTGCTTCTCGGGGCAATCTGTGCCCTGCACACCCGCAGCCCCTCACCTGCTGGCTGAGGATGCATCACTGCAACACCTGTGAGGAGGAAGGAAGACGCAGGCCACACTGACTTCTCCTTAGCTGGCCAGACAAGAACCAGGCTGGGAAGGAGGGGGGAAGGCACCAAATGCATTAAAGTTGGTCTTGTCCGATCTCTGTTTAAAACACCTGCTCTGCCAGCACACCACCTGGGGCCTTCACTCCAGATCTGCGGCTGCTGGTCTCTGCTCCATGTGTAGGTGACTTTGGTCATGTTTTGCAGTACTGAAGGGATTCAATAAAGTTTCTTAGTCACAGTGAAAACTACTTCTGGGTCTAACTCTGTTTGGCCATGCTAAAATGCACTTCTGATTTATTTATTTATTGATGTGAGCCAGAAAGACAGACACACAGCTTTATTGTTCTGCATACTGATGTATTCATTAGTTGCTTCTTGTATGCCCTGGACCAGGATGAACCACAACCTTGGTGTTTCAGGACCATGCTCTAACCAACTGAACTACCAGGCCAGTTCTGCACTAGTGATTTAAATGGATACATTTATCTTCCATGAACTTTGTATATGTACTTGGGCCAAGTTCCATTTTTTACCTATTGCTGTGTCTGCACGGACACAACTTGTCCAGTCCTTGTGGCCTGCTGCAATTACAGAACCTTTATGGGAGTTTTGAACCTCTGTTGGATTATTTCCCACCATATATTTAGTTTTATTCCTGGGTTTTCTTGCTTGTGTTTTGATATAAACTTTGAAATCAATTTATTTAGATCCAGGGAAAAAAAACACATTTTGACCTGATATATTCAAGAATATAAGCTTTCTTATCATTCACTCAAACCCTTTTTTCCTGAGAATTTGAAAAATTTCCTACAGTTTCACACCTCTTTTTAAGGCCACAGGTACCTTATCTTTTTTGTCGCTATTATAATTGGTGTCTTCTCTCCAGTTATGCCTTTTAACTGGAATAGAGTGATTGTGTCATGTTTTATCTTGTGACTACTGAATTTTCTTACTATTTGTGGCAGTTCCACATTTTTCTCTTGGGGATTCTAGACATGGTCTAAGTCTTATTTACCAGAGAGTTTCAACAGCTGATTTCCATCTCCATGGATGGTTCTCTTGTGCAGCTGCAGTGACTTATCTCCTGCAGGAAGGAGCAGGACAGAAAGAGGCAGCCTACCCTTGAACCTGCTGTTAGCAGGAATAAACTCACTGTTCCCCACTAGGAAAGGCTAGCTTTCAGGCTGCGGTACATGTATCTTATTACCCATTGACTCCTATCTCTCTTTTTTTTTTAAATTGGAAATGAATTTTGAATTTCTTAAAAGACTTTTCATTAATATTATTCTCTTTAGCAAAGCAAAGTTTCGGTGAATTATATCTGTGGGTTTCCTAATATTTAATCATCCTTGCATCACTGGAATAAATCCTATCTGATTACAATGTACTATTTAAAAAATAAAGTAGGATTCTGTTTGCGAATCTCTCACTAGGGTCTTTGAATTCGTCAGTTGTACTGTCTCAGCCTTCTCTCTCTGTGTCATCGGATTTGTGTCCTTATAGCCACGTGCTGCCAAGGCACATCTGGACACCCACACTCCTCCCCACCTTGGAGCAGTGGGGCAGCACTGGATGACCCTGCAGTGGGAGGTCTGGTGTGATTCCTGGGGAAATCACCTCAGCCAAGAGCTTTTACTGGGACAGCGAAGCTCTTTCTTAAATTTCTCCATTTCTTCCATGGAATTTGGTCTAGTTAAACCTTCTAGCTTTATTGGGGTTGGTAGTAGTAAATTATATTTTTCCTACAAAGTGATACTTTTCACCTCAAATTCTTTTATGTAGAGTTGTACAATGTCTCTTATGATTTTTTAAAATCTGTGTTTAATGGCTATTTTCCTCTTGCTATGTCTTGTTTTGTATATTTTTGGTGTCATTTTATATCTTGGTTACCATATTTTTCAGACTATGAGATGCAACCCCCCATCCAAATTTGAGAGGAATAATGGTTGTTAATGCTGCTGTTGAGTTCCATTTACATTTACATTGATGAAATATTATGCTATTTATGTTATTAAATATTTTACCCATTCTTTGCTTCAAAATTTTTTCCCTGTTTTCCTCCTCTAAAACCTAGGTGCATCTTATAGTCTGAAAAATAGGGTAGGTTAGTGTTTTCTTTTCCTACTTGTTGATTTTTAAAATGTCAGTCTGAGTGTTTCCTGGTATTTGGTTCACTGATTCCTGCCTTTACTCAGTTCCTTCTATGTGCTTGCTCTCAGCTCACATTTCCCAATTTTCAAACTGGAATTTTAAGTATTTAACACACTGTGACACCAATAGTTATATTTAAAATGGTGCCTTTCCCTGGGGACTGGACTCAAGACCCAGGCATGCGTCAGTGTGGCCAACCTCTCTTTCTAGAGACACTACACCTGCTTTGTACTTCTCATCTCCCCTGACACCTGGCATCCCAACAGTGCCATTCTGTCCGCATGAGGGAGCCAGCATGCTGGGTGGAAACAGACGCAGGACTTCAACGATGCTCACTTTTTAAATATTTAATATCTCACCAAACCTCAGGTATCACAGCACTCAGCCAAGGGACCTTGCTCTCCCTGGGCACGTGGCCCTTCTGTGGTAACTGTGTCTGCCTCTCAGGTGTGGCACTTGCTCAGCCCCTCCCTGACCCGGAATTGGCCTGGCTGGCAGACCTCACCTCACTCAGGTATCCAGAGACCTGAGGGGCTGAGCTGGGCAGAGACAGTGGTATGCAGCATGAGGAAGCCAGGGTGGGGGCCTGGTACTCACAACATTGGCAGGAAGGCTATCATGGTCACGAGGACACTGATAGAGGCCCCCAAAGTGCAGGAGAGTGTGGGGAGTGGCTGAAGAGGTGGGGGTGTGTGTGCTATCTGATGGTGGATCCATGTTGAGAAATAGGACACTCGGGCATACACTGTAGGATACACGGGGAACAGGCAACCACGGCCCCAGCTCACTATTCCAATTTGTACCCAGATGTGGTTGAGTTCACAGACGAGTGGGCCCCCAGAGTCACCCTGGAAAGAAAGAGGGGTTTCCTGTAAACCTGGCGACTGGCACCTGTTACCTCCTGCAGGAGGATGGCCCAGAGCCCAACCCTGCAGCGCCAGGGCCAGAGCCCCTTCACTCCACAGCCACACCTCGCCAGTGCCATGTCCTGCTGTGGGAAACAGAGCAGGTACCCCAGGGTGACAGCAGGCAAGGTCCCCAGGTGGGTGCATAGCTCTGGCTTACTCTGGCCAGCACTGGGGTCCACAGGGCACTGGGCACTGACTGGGCCTGTGTTCCATGTGCACCTGGGCCACCTTATGGTCCTGCTCAGCCTGTAGCTGCATGGTGATGTGCTCCAAGCTCTGAAAGGGCCAGGCCTTCAGGGACCACCCACCCACTTGGTACAAGTGTTCCCGATGGCTCCAAGCAGATTAACAGTTGAAAGCCATGGGCTTGGGGCCTGCCCTTGCAGTGGGATGCACCTCACACACAGTCTTCACGTTCATGAGGTCCCCGGCACACATCATGTCTGGCTGAATTAGTGATGGGTGTCCATAGAGCAGCTGGCACAGGATCAACGGGATCAGAGGCACCTGCACCTCCTGCAGGTGGTCTGAGGAGTCACCTGTCAGAAAAGCAGCACAGGTTCAGGGACAGGGCCTCCCAGCCCTGTTCCCCAGGACATGCCCAGCCCCACCCCCTGCCCAGTGTGCTCCACCAGTGGCTTTTCTCGCTCCTGCCCTCCCATGGTTCCCTTCCTTGCACCGGGACTCAGGATTTGGTCAATGACATGGGACTGGAAATGCCACATGGAACTTTATAAGAGAAACGTAAAAGCCCATCCTCTTCCCACTGCTGTAGCTTGACTGCAAACAGCTCTATCGCCTCTGTCCCTGGGTGACTGTGGGGCTGACAGTATGTGCACAAGAAAGGAACCCTCAATTTTTGTGGGTTGTCACCCCTGTATCCCCTCTATGCTGAGGGGTACAGTAATTGGTCCCAGGAACCATGGGCTTCCCTGACCACTGTGTGAGGGGGTCCTAATGCCCCAGACTGACAGAAAGAAGCAGCTCTCACAGGCTTGGGACCCTGTGTCTAGGGTCAAGGGGGCTGATGCATGTGTACCCTGAGGGGACAAGACAGCAAATGGAATGTCAGCAATGTCTGTGGTGGCTGCTGACTGTGCTGGTGAGGTAGTCAATTAACATCAAGGAATGAGACACAGGCCCTGGCTGGTGCACACAGGAATGCAGAGCAGCAGGGAGTCCACAGACTTGGGGTGCAGGGTTGGGAGAGGCAGCCCAGGAAACGGCAGTTAGGAAACTACTTTGAAACTACCCAGCCAGCTACCAATGTCCCTGAGACCTTCCATGATGCCACTGAGAACACTGAGGTGGGGGGCCAGCAAGGACTCCAAGAGCACCTCTCCTGCCAGGAGCACTCTCTGGGCTGGGACATGCAAGGGGCACAAGCAGCTGGAATCTACAAGGTGGATGGATGTTAGGAGGAGGGTGCTCCAAAGAGAAACAGCCCTGGGGGCACGTACAGGACCCTGGTGGACCATGGTCCACTGCTGGACCAGGAGCCCCATGCACAAAGGACACACTTCCCATGGCAATAGCAGAAGGTGGCCAGGTGGGACTGCACAGTGCCTGGGGCTCTGTCAGGGTAGGAGGCTGACTTCCAATGAGTCAAGAGTGAAGAGTCTTATGGGGAGACAGTGTTGAGGTGGGGGGAAACATCCCGTTGTGCTCACATGGATGCTGAGGCCGCACAGACATGGGCAGACAGAGGGCCACAATGATGTACGCAGAACCCACTGCTCCAGCTGTGGCAGGGCACAGAGGCAGACATGAGGCACGGATGTGGATGGGAAGAAGTCGGCTATCATTTCCATGAGTTCTTCAATGCTGGTAGTGTACCAGCTCAGGAAATGGGAAACCAGGGGAGAGAGGTTTGTGCACAGGGTAGGTTTTCCCTGGGTCTCCAGTGGGAGCTCATGAGAAATATAGGGGGCAGGGTAAGGACCAGAGAGAGGGTTCCTTGGTGCAGGGAGGTGTTCAGGAGACAGCCAGCTGCCACTGGAGGGCCCAGAAAACACAGCTTGCTTCTCTTCTTGCACACAGAGCCTTCCACCAGAGGGGACATCATTATACTCTTGCTCCCAGGGCCTGGACAGGTGCACCCCTCTGGAGAAAGGGCAGAAACCAGATTTATGTTCCTGAAAAGCTTCTGGACTCAAGAACTACAGCAGTGACACCAGAGGTCAGCCTGCTCTCCCCTGCTGTCACAGGCACAGGGCTCTGCAGCCAGGGTGGTGCGACATTTACTCACCTAGTGACACACTATCAAAGGGGAAAGCAGGCAGTTCCATACTAACGGCTGGAGACTTTGATACCCCTCACTGCAGTGATGGAAAGAACAAGCAGACAGAAGGCAAGGAAGGAGGCAGAGACCTAAACAACACAGCTAACTGGCCTGTACTGCAGATACATGCAGAGCACTCCACCCAAGGGCAACAGGCCTTACGTTATCTCATGAGCATGGGGGCATTTCCCAGGCAGATTGTATGTTAGTCCACAAGTTAAGTCTCTATAGATTTTAAAAGATAGATAGGATAAAGGCTTAGTAACATTGGGCTTGGCAGTGATTTCATTATGACATGAAAGGCACAGGCAACAAAAGATGACTAGACAAACTGGACTTCATGAAAAATTTTAAATGTATGTGAAAAGACACTGTTTACTAGGTATAAAGGCAACCCCCCACATAATGGCAGAAAATATCTGCAAATAATATCCGATCAGGGGGTTAATATCCAGAATATATGAAGAACTATTCAACAATAAAACAACCAACCTGATTCAAAAATGGGCAAAGTCTGCTAGAGTGGTGACTTCAACCTTTCTCATGTCATGGCACACATAAACTAATTAATAAAATCCCGCAACACAAAAAAACATATACTTTTTTGCCAATCTGACAAAAAACAAAGGTATAATTTTGATTCATTCACACTGAATGGCTAATGCTGTATTGGATGTTGTCATGTTTTTATCTGACAATCTAAGGGAAAAGAGGTCAGTGCTCCTGACTAAACAGTCAGCTACTGCATGTTTTAAACATTCTAGACAGCAAATGATGCCTGAGTCCAGTGCTCCAGCTTGGCTGTCACAGGCTGCCCATGACCATGGGGGGTAGGTGCAGGCCCACTACTGTGCACACCAGGTTTTACAGTTCACTGTCATACAGTGTTATTGTGGCCATGCATATGTGCCACAGAAATTGGTACCTTGAAATTGGAGGTGTCCATAAAAATAACAAGAATGTGGCACTGGTTTTGGGACCTGAGAAATAGATAAATGTTCCCATAGTATAATCTTTCTAGATTCTTTCATTTTTCTAAATGAAAAGAAAATTGATAAAAAATGTTGGGTGGGCTGTGTTCTGAAGTTGCCAATGGCAATTTGGAAAATAGAAAACATATTTACTGAACTGAAGAAACTTGAGAAGATGACTCCAGGCAGAATTATGAAAGTCTAGAGGTTGCTTCTGGCTGAGTATAAGGGTCTACAAAAAAGATGAACTCAGAATAGAACACACCAATTCTCAAGCACAGGCTAAAGGGTATAAAATAAAGAAGGGGTCAGAAAACCTCCTGGCAGGGACCATGAGGCTTTGTAGGCCAGACCACCTCTGTAATGGGTATTCAACTTTGCCAACTGGAGCAGCTGGACAACACTCACATGAATGAGCATGCTTGTATTCAAATACAAATGTACTTATGGACGTGGAACTTTGGAGTTTATACAATTTTCATATTTCATGAAATTTTCTTCTTCTTACGGTTTTATATGGGCTATGTGTGAATGTAAAAGCCATGCCAAGATTGCCAGCAACACAGAAAGCCATGGGCATGACTGGGCCCACAGGTTGCATCCTCTGGGTTGGAAATGAAACTGCTTTGGTCTCAGTCACAGGCTTCACTGTCAGCACTTTTGTTGAAAACTTGAAGAATTAAGATTTTGCCTAGTAGATGTTCCATGCTGGAAAAAAAGGGACTCTAGAAATCCTAGGTAGGCCATCCCATAGCACACTGATGTAGCCAGAGAGGCAGGGACTGAACTCCGAGGTGCAGATCTCAAAAAGAATGGGGGTGTGGTTTGGGCAGCTCAGGAAGTCACTGAAGACTTGTTACAGTGTTTCCTGTCTGGACTAAAAGGTATGAGATGTTCAAAATGTCAACAGGTTTCTGGTCCCCAAAGAAAGGCTGGGAAAGATGTTCAATGTGGCATTTTTCAAGGCTCTTGAACAATGAAGAAGTAGCAAAGAAGTGTTAGATGTCTTTAACTGACATAAAAGGTGGCAAACACAAGGCCCATGGGCCAAATCCAGCCCTCCACCTTATTTTATCTGGCCCATCACTTTGTTTCTATCTGGCAGCAGCGTGGAGCTCTCACTTAACTGTTAAGGAGTAGTTACATTTACACAGTCCTAAAATTACATTCAGCCCTTTGAAGGCAAACACGAGGCTGATGTGGCCCCCAGTGAAAATGAGTTTGACACCCCTGGCTTAGAGCCAGGAGCCTCGGAAAACAGTCATTTGAAATCTTGGCAGGTTTACTGTAGAAACTGGAGAGCTGAGTCTAAAATTCATACAGAAATGCAAAGGACCCTGAGTGCTGTGTGGCCCTGAAGAAGAGAGGCACGTGGATGCCGTCTCTCATCAGACTCATTGTACAGCTGCATCCCACAGAGGCCCCCGAGGCAGAGCGGGAAACTCCAAGTATCCCCCACACATGGTCACACAATGTTTGACAAAGGTGCTAATACTATTCAGTGGGGAAATGAGGGCTTCTAGGTGAATGGAATAAGTGGGTTCCATTGCTGGAGCAAGTGGGTATTGATGTGGAAAAAAGTAGTTCTTAATCTTTCTCTCACATCACATGCCAAAAATTAACTGTGATAGATCCTACAGATAAATGTAAAAATTTAATTCATAATGCTTCTAGAATAAATGAAAAGACTTATCTTCATGGCCCTACAAGAGGCAGATCATCATAAACATGACACAAAAGGTCCTACATATAAAGGGAAAAAACATAATAAATTGAAGTGTCAAAAAACCTTTTTTAAAAAAAAAGACATATTAAATTTAGAAAGCAAGCCATAGTCTAGCAGAGAATATCTGTGTATGTAGCAAAGTACATGTATCCAGAATATATACAGAACTACTACAAATAATAAAACCTCAAGAAGCTGTCACTACACAATAATTAGTATAGCTACAGTGAAAAAGACTGACGCTGTCAGACTGGGCAATGATGTGGGCCAATTAGAGGTCTCATACACTGACACTGGGAATGTACAAAACACAGTCAGTTTAGAAAGTTTGGATTTTCTAACAAAGTTAAATTTAGTCCCACCCTGTAGTGAACATAGTCTACTTCCAAGTATATGCCCAAGATACACAAGTGTGTGTTCACCAAAAGACTTGCATCATAATATCTGTTGCCGATTTACTCATATTTCCTAAACACTAGAGACAACCCAGATATCCATCTACAGGAATACGGAGAGAAGAAATTTGGCCATGTTTATAAAATGGAACACTATGTGACAGAT